GAATCAGATCCCACAATTCTTATAAATCCCAAATTAAATTATAATACTCGGTAATTAAATTTCAAATCTTCTTAATTAATTAAGTATTAATTATTATACGTGATGGGGTGGTTACGGGACAAGTGTGCCAAAGCACACATTTCTAGGGAACGTCTTACAAAGGTGCTGGCATTGTGTGCAAGAATTCTTGCCAAGTGGAGGTGCGAGCAGCGAAAGCATATCGGGATTATGGGATATGGGAACCTGGTTAGGGGGCGCAAGTACTTGGCTGAATAGGTGTGAATAACTTGAAGATGTAGACCACATAGGATTTAGCATAGTAGACAGAGACTTCCTTGATAAAGATGTTAATGTAAACCCACATACTCCAGCTACTCCACTACACCTCCACCTATTCCACCTACTCCATTATACCTACACCTACTCCACTCTCCACCCACATCTCCTATATAATGTACATACAATATAACAATCAATATCAATAAAATCAATATATACATAATTGTTTCTCTCTTTCTTTCCTTATACATTTATTCTTACAAAGTATATTATATTTTTTTTCAAATTTAAAGAGAAAAGTGTAATTTAATTTATTTTTTTATCACCCATGTCCATTGTGAAAGTGGTAAAACTCATTTTCTAAGGCAATGCTTGTTGACATTTTCAGTTTTGTCTTTTGTAAAGAAGGTATTGCACGTTTTGATAAAGCCACAACTTGTAGCATTGGAGTTCAGATCACCTAACAGTAATTATTCATTTTACACTTAATAACTCCCTCAGATAAATTTAAGTACTCGGCAAATCCATTATAGAAGCAACCTAAGTAGATTATTGAACTTATGAAGCTGCATAAAAAACGTGTTAAGAGCAGCAATACCTGTATAATCCGTAGGATCGCCCACACCCACACCCACACTCTCTCTCTTATCTCTCTCTCTCGGGTTGCATTTTGAGAGGAGAAGCTGAGCACACACTCAGACACGGCCACACACACAGTGCTTCATACCACTGCCATAGACCCACAGCTTCATACACACCACACACACACACAGCCGATACACCAAGCATACACCTGCACACGATTCACACAGACCACAGCCCAACTCACATACACCAGCGATGCATGATCTCTCTCGGCACCTGGTCTCTCTCTCTCTGGCATGCACTGGTTCGGCGATGAAGAGATGACACACATACGCACATGCATCTGCTCTCGGGCACTGTCACTCTCTCTCTGCGGGGTGTCTGTGTGTTGGGTCTCTCGGCCATGCATTTTTGGGAGGACATTCTATTCTCTCTCTCTCTCTCTACAACGCACACGGGTTTCTCTCTCTCTTTGAGGGGGCCACCCAGTCAAACCCTTTTCCTCTCTCTCTTTCGCCACCTCACAGACCCATGCATCACACCCTCTTCCTCTTTCTCTTTCGGCACCTCACAGACCCATACACACAGGCATAAACTCTCTCTCTCGCTGTTTTGATTCGGGGTTAGCAGAAGCATCACATATTGATCCATACACAACCCACACACATGCACTAGCTCTCGTTCTTCTCTCTCTAGGACACACCATACACACCGACACTACACACCCAGAGATTCACACAGGCATCTGGTTCTCTGATCTCTCTCTACAATTGAGATAACACACCGATACACACATGGGGGCAGACTCAAAACAGAGGGAGATACACACACCCAAGAGGGACACCCAGCAGATGCATACCCCCACGGCCATGAGCTCTCTCTTGGCTCTCTCTATGGACAACACATGCACTGGCTCTTTCTCTTCTCTCTCTATAACACACTGACTCACGGCATAGACATTGATCATTCACAAACACACACCAGCTCTCACACACAGACTGAGCTCCTTCTCCCTCTCGGCTCTCTCCATAGACACAGCCCATATACACACTGACAACCACACACCCTTGGAGCTACACAACACACCCAGATACACACCATACATTCACACCCCAATACAGACAGCACGACACAGACCCACACCACTCACTTCCCGTGGTCTCCTACATGCCCTTTATGATGAAAACATTTTTTTTTTTTTAATCAACCCACTACCCCTCTCTCTCTCTGGTCCCTTTTTCTCTCCACCAGACCCACTTTAATCATATTCATCATTTGCCTTCATTTATTCCACCCACCAGCGCACATGCTTTCCCCATTAATCCATTATTATTATTATTATTCTTATTATTCTTCACACAAAAAAAAAAAAAAACATTCACCAACTCGTTTTTCATTCCACAACCTTGTCATTTCTTCATGCTGGGCTCAATCCCGATCACAATTTTACATCCACACAAAAAACAAAAAAAAACAAAAACAAAAACAAAACAAAACAAATCCAACACCCCCAAAAAAAAGATTTGTTTTCTTTTCTGCAGACGGCCATCCACCGACCTCACTTCTTCGCCTCTTTCGCCGGTCTTTTCTTCTTGCCTTCGTCCTGAGCGGCCCTTGACGGTGCTGCCTCCGTGTTTTCCACGCCGCCGAGCACGTTCACTCCCCCATACTCCTCCACTGCAGCATATGGCGGACCCCACTCCACTGGGCACGATCACTCCACCCTGCTCCTCCACTACAGCATATGGCGGACCTCCAAATCAGAACATAACAGTTGCCTTCCGCTTCAGCTCCTTATTTTCCGCCTTTATCACACTTATCTCTGCTCGCGCATCCTTATACATGCGCTGGAGCAGAGCCAGTTGGGCGTTTAACTGCTGCACCTCATTTGTCCTACTCTGCAGCCGGTGCGACAAGTTTGTGACCGCCGTCATGGTCTCCACACATGACATCAAAGTATACTGATTGACCTCAATATCTGTTTGCACTGCCATTTTTTGCTCCACCGACCGCATAGGGAAGTTCAACGGCGCAAAACCAGAGGCGCTTGGTTGCGGTTCAAGGGCCACCGCACCAGTTATTTCTCTTGTGGACTCGTTCAGGTCTGGAAAGAGCGTGAGCAGACCACGGGAAGAGGAGGCCATGTTCTGGGTAGCTGGACGGGAAGAAGAGGCCATGTTTTTGGGTTACTGAGTGTTTCAGCGAAGCAGCGATTTCCGACTGGTACTTTCAGAGAAGGATTGGTTACAGAGTGTTACAGAATATTACAGAGTCTCTCTCTCAGAAACGGAAGAGTTTTTCAAAGGATTTTCGTAGGTTTTTTGTCTCAGCCTCTGCCTCGGCCTCAGCCTCCGTCTTGGTTAAATAGCCGAGGCAGACACGCGCATCGCGCGCCACTTGACGCCAGACGACAAAACGGGTGCGCAAGCCAAGGTAGTCACACGCCTCACCATCATGTCCGGCACACCTTTTTATGGCTTGGGCACGCCTTTTGATGGCACGCCTTTTGAAAGATTGGGCACACCTTTTGAGGGCACGACTTTTGAGGGCTCGATATATATATATCTACATGTATATCTTTTGGGCAGCCTATATACACAATCATACAGTATTTGCTACCTCGGTCCGGCATGACCTCGTAAACTGTCCTGCTACATCGGTCCGGCTAGATCTCGTAAACTGTCCTGCTACAACGGTCCGACATGACCTCGTAAACTGTCTTCTACACCGGTCCGACATGACCCCATAAACTGTCCCGACATTGATTCCGGTCAGCTTTTACATCGGTCCGACATGACCCCATAAACTGTCCCGACATGGAACCTATATCTGGCTCTCCACATGATGCACCTAGTCTTTGCTACGTCATTTCCTCATGCCTACTATTGGGGAAAAAACCCACTTAAAGCTCCAATACCATTTGTTAAGAATAATATTTAATTAATGGCATAGAGAAACCTTTCCATATTATTTACACATCAGTTGAGTAACCATGCCAACATTTTTACTGCATGACACAAGAAAAAACGGTGCAATAAATGCCACCCCTTTTGCCTTTGACCAACAGTCTCAGGAGTGATGGTTCAATGTCGCGGTCACAAATCAGGGCCAAGGTTGGTGAAATTAGGCAAGACAAATAGTGAGCAACTGTTACAGAGGTGCACAAGCAAGTGCAAAAGAACACGTGTACAAGAGCACACATAAGGTGCACAGTATCGTGTATAGGGGCACAGGCATACAGTAGTACAGGGGTACGAGGAAGTGTCTTACGAAGGTGCAAGCATTGTGTGCAAGAATTCTTGCCAAGTGGAGGTGCGAGCAGTGAAAGCAGATAGGGATTATGGGATGTGGGAACCTGGTTAGGGGGTGCAAGCACTTGGCTGAATAGGTATGAATAACTTGAAGATGTAGACCACACAGGATTTAGCTTTCCCTATACATTTATTCTTACAAAAGAAATGTGTTAATCTAGAAGAATGAGTAACCACTAATGTGTAAAGAATAACAAAAAAAAATTATCTATGCAATTAATGCTTCAACATTTAGGTTGCAGCAGAGTAATAATAATAATAATACTAATAATAACAAAAGTCATTGCATGAAGAAAAGAAAAGGAAAAGGCATTGCTAATGCATTCATAGTTCACGGTTTTTCATATTTTTTAATACGAAATGTTGGAAGAGCAAAACTGTCAAAACGACGTCGTTTTACGTTGTTTTATGCCCAAAACGACGTCGTTTTGACAGTTTTGAGCCATTTGAGCCACACTTTTTGTGACCCTCTACCATTGCTTAGAAATTTTATGGGCCCTCAGCCACATCATGCATGTATACGCACTTTGAATCTATCTTATCCTTCAATCTCCTCTTAAATGTTTCCCAAGTGCAAAATAGAGCTCCATGAGAAGAGAAACTAAAAAAAATAAGACAAATAAATAAATAAAAAAACAAGGAGAAGAGAAACATCATTAGAAAAACATCCCAAAAATTCCATATAAAACAAAAAAATCAAAAAAATCAAAATCCAAAAAAACCAAGTCATTGATATCATCAAAAACATATAGGAAAACAAATACCCATAAAAAATCAAAAAGAAAAGAAAAAAAGAAACCCATTAAAGAAAGCTCATGAACCAACCTTTCCAATTCAATCAACAATCGCTTTTGTAGCCCCCAAATTGAAGTCCCCATTCCTTACTGTTGTTGTCCTCTGCACATAGAAGGCCTTATCAAAACTTGGAGCCATTGCAAACTTTTACTAATTTCTATAGATATTTAAGATTTAATAACTACCCATCTTATCAAATGAGAATGATAGAATTATAGAAATCTCTGTTTTGTTCCTTGGAATGCTTTATAAGAAAAAGAGAATTCTTCACTAAAGAATGTATGCAGAAACAAGAATGAAGAGAGTATGAAAACCCAAAAAAGACGAAGCACTCTGTGTGTGTGTGTGTCTGTTTTATTTTGGCATATGATCGAACACATGGTGGATATACAATTAAACAGTTGTGAGGATCAAGAATAGAGTCCCAAATAGACAAATTAGGAATAATTTCATAATAAACAAAAGGAAGAAGACACACCTCATTTTCTGCAGGTTGTTCCAGCTCATTGAACATACACCAATCCAATATGTATGGTCAGCAATATATTGAAGGTTCTGTTTTGGTAACGAGTTTGAAAACCCACTAAACTCTTGAAGATCTTCCACCGTTCCACCGATCGCACCACTCAACTCCTGAAGAGCTTATCGCTTGTGTCACGAGCTTATCCTTTCTTGAAGGTTCCTGCTGCTTGTGGTCTTCCTGAAATGGTGATAGCGGTGTATGCATTTTGTGCAAGATTCAAGAAGGGAGAGATGGTGGCCTCCGATTGGTTGGTCAATCGGTTGTAGATGTCGTGGCTATTGTCATTGTTAAGGAAGGATCAACGTGTTACCATTGTTATATGTAAAACAAGCAGTCGTGTTACACCAAACAAGCAGTCGTGTTACACCACTCTTACATCCTTTTTATATATGTTATAGATTTTAATTTAGTTAATTTTTCCTTTTTTTTTTGGTTTTGAAAGAATTTTTGATTTTTTTATAACTTTAATAGAAAAAAGTAAAATAATTATGATTTAGATATTACATTTTATTTGTTTGACTTTTTAGTTTATTTCATTTTTTAGTAGGCTAATTTAGTCCTAATCATCTTGTTAAATGAGGCCTTAGGTGAGAAATATTCTATTCTATTCTATTCTATTTTATTTTTATTTTTATTTCATGTGATTATAATTATTTCTAAAGAACTTCCACTCTTACTAATTTGAAAGAAAATTTTATTTTACTGATTCATAATTAAAAAAAGAAAAAAAAGAAAGAAACAACATAAGATAATGCTATATGGTAGGGCCAAGGAAAAAAAAATTATAATCTAATTCGATCTAAACTAATGCAAGATAATGCTAAATTGTATAACTTGATTTGATTTTCTTAATGAATGGTTTGATCTTGATTCTTAAAATAAGTAAACATAATGGTTCAGTTCATAATTTTATAGTTATGGATCCGATTTAAAACTGAATGGCATCGTATAAATATAAAAAATATAATTTGTTGCCTAATAAAAATTAAAATATCTTATTAATACAAAATATACAAAAGTTATGATTCTAAACTATCAAATCGAGTTTTATTAGTTCGGTCTAGTTCAGTTAATAAGATTTTTTACCGTTTTGATTCTAAATTTCATAAAAGGGTAAGTAATAATTTGTGGGGGATTTGGTAATAGATCCCTTAGTGTCTAACTTGTCCTTCAAAAGGACAATAATTATATAGATCCTTTCAAATCTCTCTAGTATTTTAAAACTTATTTCTTTTACTATGATACCCTCATATATATATATATATATATATATGTGTGTGTGTGTGTGTGTATCAACTTGTAGTCACTTTCTTATATCTCAATCTCTCTTCTCTTTGTCTCGCACTTATTATTATTCTTTTTATCGGTGCCATCATTGCTCTCCATCAGCACTAGCACCGTTCAGCATGGAACTCTTTCTCTACTGTTTTCATCACCACCATCATTTTTTGCATCCATAACTTCAGATCTGAGATCATTCACAATTGTCGTCACCAAAAAATGACAATTTACGACGGTCCGCAAACCTCAAATCTGAGATCCTTCTCTCTCTCTCTCTCTTCTTCTTCTTCTTTTTCTTCTTCTCTTGATCCTCTGTTTTCGAACTCTGTCTCTCTATATCTCTTTCTTCTTCTCATGATGCTCTGTTCTTTCAACAGTAAAATTTTACTTTAGTTCATAACACAAAACTCTTCTGTAAAGCTATCATCGTATCTTGTTTCAGAGTAAAATTTTACTTTGAATTATAATAAACTTTGACTCAGAGTAAAATTTTACTTTGTAATTAAAAAAAAAAGAGAGAGAGAGAGAGAGTAAAAGTTTACTTTGAATCAGAGTAAAATTTACTATGATTCAAAGTAAAATTTTACTGTAATTAAGTAGATCAATATGTTATTAACCATAGTAAAATTTTACTGTTACGAAAACAGAGTACATATGAAATGAACGAACCATAGTCAAATTTTACTTTTAGATCTATGAACAAACAAACAAAAAACTCTTAAATTTTCATTACAATATCTTGATTTCTTATTTTTCTGTCAAATCTAAGTTTTTATTTATTTATTTATTTATTTATTTTTTAATCTCTAATATGAAGTTATTGATCTCAAATATAAGTTTGTAGGTATCAAATCTGAGATGGTGGTGGTTTGACGGTAAAAATGGTAGTTGCCGGTCGACGGTGAGAATGAGCGACATTGTTAAACGATGAAGATGGTGGAGACGATGAACAACCATCGAGTTAGTGAAGAGAGAGAGAGAGAGAGAAAGAGAGAGAGAGAAAGAGAGAGAGAGTGCTATAAAAGAAATGGAAGAAAGAGAGAGTATAATGGTCAAATAAAATATTCAAATAACAAATTTTATCCTTTATATAAAATTTTATAATTTGAAAGTAAAAAGTTTTTTTTTTTTCTTGTCCTTTTAACAAGAAAAGGAAGCTAAGAGGGGTTTATGGCTAAATTCTCCATAATTTATTTCTTAATTTATTCATAAATCAAATCAAACCTTCAAATTGGAGAAAGCCGGACAAACTACTTTGTTTGCATTTGATTTTTTTTTTAAATTTCATCAAGTTTTGAATTCCTATTTTTAAATTTTTTACAAATTTATTTAATATTTTAATTAAAAATTTGAAATTCACTTAATTTAGATAAACTTAAAATATATATATATAATTTGTGAAAAAATATTTTAAAAATTCACTAAATATATATAAAAAATGAAAATTCATACATTTTCATATTTTTATTTATATAACTATCCATACATATTTTATTTTTTAAATACATTTAAATTAGGTGTATTTAACAAAAAATGAATAAAATATAATAAAAAAAAGTTCACCAAAAATAACAAAACACGAAAAAAAAATAATTTTGAAAATGCAAACTCTGAATATCACACGCAATTGAGAAAAATAAAAAGTTTAATTACATAAAAAATCTTTTAATTATTAGCGAATATTATTTTCCATTCGTTTATAAACTGATACATTTTAATCTTTTCAACTATATAAATTTATCATTTTCATCCTTTCAAATGACCTGTAAAGAGATAGGAAAATTAGTCCAAGGCCCCTCTCCTATTTTTAGTAATGGAAGAAATCCACAATTATTTTATGATGTCTAAGGTCCCTCAACCCTACACCCATATATCACAGAAAAATTTGACTCTCTCAAATCAAACCTCATTTCTTTCTCTCTTTTTCTCTCTTTGCCTTCCTTATTTCGTTTTTCTCTCTCCAAATCCAAGCCTCACTTCACTTCACTCCTTTCAATGGCCACTCAAGATTCCTTTGAGCCTTGCGTCCATCTCATTCTTCTACTGCCTCGACGCCATAGAATTGGAATTCGAGCTCGCCATCCTCCGCTACCAGAATCTCTTTGACACCAACGACTCCATATTGAATATTTTGAGATATGATATTGTTGCAGAAAATGTGCCGGTGAAAGCATCTGAAAAGGTTTCACTGCTAGCAATTGATTGGGATTATAAAGTTCAGGTTGCAAAATTGGTCCAATCAGAACTGAAAATATATGGGAAATTGAGTAGAATTGAGACTCAAAGCCACTTTTTGGCGAACCTATTTTCTCTGGAGAGAATTTCGTCTAGAGAAATTCTCTGGAATTTTGGCCACTATGTAAATTTTCTCTGAGAAGTTCTCTGGGACGTTCAGAGAAATTCTCAAAATTTTTCTTGACAGAAAATTCTCTAGTCATATTTGCCACTTACCAAAGTGCTTCGGTGGTATGAAGCTTTTAAAAAATTGCATAATTTAAAACACTCTTTGTCTATTGAATTGGTGGCTTCTTGATGTTTTTTCTAGTTTTCTATGTACTAATGTCATAGATATTTGCTACAGGCAAGGGTGACTCCTAGTGTTGTGTTCTATGCTCAACTTTCAAAGCCTAATGGGTTTCGGGGAAGGTTCCATGCCTTACATTGCTTGGAAATGTGTGGCACAGCAAAATGGTTCTTTCACTGATATGTATTAATGTGTGTAACAACCCCATCTCATGATTAACGTTGATCCATGATTTAATATGTCTAACAAGTTATTGAGATCAAATCCTAATTAATTGCATGTGTGATGTATTATTTGTTCTTTTATTTGTCTCTCATAGGAAGATCTGTTCATGTTTCCGTTTTGGTTTGCGAATTGAAGGCCTTATCGGCATCCGATTTAGAAATTAACCTGATTTATGTGTTGTTTGGGATTTATAGGTTTAATTGAAATTTGATTCAGAACGAATTAAATTAGAATAAATTAATGCCCAATTAATTAGTTGATCAACAAGGTAATTAGGCCATTAGCCAAGCCTATATAAGGCCACCAAACACCTCATATACACTTTTTGCACTCCATTTTCCTCTTGATTGAGTTTAAACGTGTAGACAGAGAGAGAGAGAGAGAGAGAGAGAGAGAGAAAGACTAAGAGGAGAATGGCTTCAACATAAGAGTTAATTGAGAATTTGGAGATTTGGCTAGGAATTCCAACCAAATAACTCTTGAGAGACCATAGTTCAGCATCTAAGGCAAGAAGTTCAGCCCTTAGTTGTGTAATTGAGTTAGTTTTTGTAAGAATTCAAGTAAAAAAGGTGGACTAACATGAGATTGAGCTAGGATTAAAGGATTATAGCTCAAATCATACATGCATGTGCATATCATGAAGTTTTGAAGTTGTTTTACAAGAATTCTCACATGCATGTTCATATCTTGGTTTGGTTCAAAGAATTCAACTTATTTTTGAGCTTAATGACTCTTTTGATCATGTTTTGGAAGGTTGGAATTCACGACATTACATGCAAGTTATGTTATCTAAGTTTCAAGTTTTGTTTATTACAATTGGTATAGCTTTTGGGTTTGATTTTTTGCAAAATAGCTTGTAATCCATCATGTACGATGAATTTATCAATGTTTTATTAAGTTTTGGTCCAAAAGATGTGTTTTGAAGAATTTGAATTTGAGTTTTGAGCTTGGGAGCAAATCTAAAAATTCTAGAATTCTGCTCCTATGCTCGAGCGACCACTCTAAGTGCGTGTACTTCTGCTTAAGTGACCAGAAGTCAGCTCAAGCGTGAAATGCATGCTCCCAGAAGTTCTTTTGTTTTGCAAATCGCTCGAGCGACAAAAGTTGCGCTCGAGCTAGGGCATGTCTCTCATGCTCGAGCAAGTATTAAGCGAAAAAATCAAGCAACCAGTATTTTTGCAAAAGTTTATAGACTGTTTGAGCAACAGATCTTGTGCTCGAGCGACCACTCACATTTTGCATGTTCGCTCGAGCATAGGAAGTTACGCTCGAGCGAGGACCCTGTTTTCAGCAAGTTTTGTTAAGTGTTTTCAAGTGCATTTTTGCATCCTCATTCCATCCTAGGTATTTCT